GAGAGAGAGAGAGAGAGAGAGAGAGAGAGAGAGAGAGAGAGAGAGAGAGAGAGAGAGAGAAGAAAGAGCTTAGTAGTGCAATGAACATAGGAGAGTCTTGAGGGTGTGCATAGTCGAACTTGGATAGAAACAACACCACACATGGGCAGGGGTGTAGGGTGGGTGAGAGAGAGAGTGAGAGAGAGCGAGAGAGAGAGAGAGAGAGAGAGAGAGAGAGAGAGAGAGAGATTTTAGTTAATTTTTAATTATTCTATCCCTCTTTGTCAACATCGTTTCTGAAGTACAAGTCCAGATTAAGTATTGCGCCTTGCAAGGATTGGCCAGTTTCCTTACTCGTTGGCTCCCCGCATTGCGGGCTCCACTTGGTGCAGGGCAACTTGCAGTATTATCAAAACAAAAATCTCCCTCAGAATGACTGCAACCTGAGCAAGATAGAGTCAAAGTGGAAACGATTGGTCAGTCCGTAAGTGGAAACGATTGGTCAGTCCGTCTGATCATGATCAGATCACAGAATGTTTCCTTGGACTCTCACCAACTCATCAGGAGGCTGAACCCTCGACAGTCTGCACAGACTCCGCAGAACCCCATGTGGACATTCTGAGTGATAATCGATTTTTACCTGTGTGGTGGCAAGTGGACAGCCAGGCAGGTGGCGGCACAAGCAGCAAGGGGAAGCAGGTAGCATCACAGCAAGGAGTAGGGGCGTGAGCACAAGGCAAAACAAACAGATTATCGTCCTCTGGGACATCCGCAAAAAATTGGAACAGACAGCATCAGCATGACCCCTAGATGGACTTAGGCTGGAAGGCCCTGAATTCACGGATTCAATAAAGCAACAGATTCAAACAGAGATATTGGCTCAATGGGATAAAGTCAAAGAAAAGATTCAACATCTTTCGATCCAATCAGAAATCGACCGTCACATTCAACAATTCAGCAGCGACTGGCTGGGGGGTACCAAGGAAGGAAAGATGGGAGTGATAAAGTGGAAGGAAGTGAAAAGAGCGAAAGTGAAGAGGGGGCAACCAGAATCCAGAAGGATCTATCAATTACATTTTCTTGACTGGACTAATGTGGATCCTGCGATCCCGCTAAGACCATTATCAGACTTCCCTGATCAATTTCCACTATCATCTTTGTGCTTGGTTCCTTTGAGTTGGTATGGTGTGGATTAGCTAGGTTTTTCTTGAACCTAGGAATAGTTTCTGGTGCTAATGTAGAAAGACAATATCTGGCGCCCCTAGAAGGGAAGGGGGTTTTCTTGAACCTAGGAATAGTTTCTGGTGCTAGGGTAGAAAGACAATATCTGGCGCCCCTAGAAGGGGGGTCAAGAGGTACCAACTTTTTCCTATTTACTCTGTTAAAGGGACGCTGGACCCGGTTTCCAGCAGGTGCAGCTCCCCACCAATATAATGGAGCCATACTAGGAGCCTTAAAAAAAAAAAAAAAAAAAAAAAAAAAAAA